ATTTATAATATGTATATATTTAAAGTTATATATGTGTAGTGTATCAACTATCTGGTATCCATAACACAAGCCTCGTAGCTTAGCATGGAACTAGATGGTGCTGTGTGATAATGTCCCAACATATTTATTTATTTATATTTACATATTTAACTTTTAGTACTTATCTAACTAAGAAAATTAAACACATGAACACTAAAAATATAAATAATAAAAAAATCAGCTAGATAATATTATTTACTCAATAAATTAAATATTAACCCATGACAGACTTATCGTTAATACCGAAAAATTTTCCTCGAATTGCATACAAAACCTCTATGGGAACTGCTTCGACTAAATCTTACTTTATAATTTGGCTTCCTGATGTCATATTGATATAAATGGTACACAAATTGTGGCTCTAATATAAGGAAACCAGTTGTTGAAGGTTCCTTTATTTTGGTAGTGTTGGAGCAACTTTTACTAGTACTTTTCAACTTCGACTATTTTAGTTTTCAAAAGGTTTTGGGTTAAAAACATTATAGAAATCTAAGCATTTATTAAAACTCTGAGACGAATCTGTACATTAAATGTTTTTTGGAAAATTTTATTGAAATAGTATTATTATTGATACTGAGGCAGAATCTATAGTTTTTAGAATTTTTGTCTGTCTGTCTATCTGGGAATACATCACGGGAAAACAACTGGAAAGATTTTGATGAAACTTGGTATGATATTATCCGGGTCAACATTTGGGATACTTTTTACTGCGGGAAAATATCTCATCTCTGAGAAATGTATGCTAACCGTTAAAACGTACTAGGGTGAGTCACTTGTTTTTTGTATATTGTAATTTTATTTATTATCAACTTTATGATATATCTGTACTATTTAGTTAACTATAAGAAAAAAATAATAAAAAACTATAACATTATTACGAGTGCAGTATATAATATCTTTGGTACCTTTCTAACGAATAATATTTATTTAGACTAGACTTTTATTAATACCTAAATGGCTATTCATTAAAAAGTCTAATTAAAAAAGAAGCAGTTACAATTTTACTACAGACATATGTATGTATGTACCTATATTGTGCACATATTATGTAGAGAAAGGAAGTTAAAAATAGAGTAAATAATTTCAAATTTACTAACACAAAGATTCAAAACGAAAGGTAGAGACTATAACTATACCATATATTGATTATGATGAAATTATTGAACACGTTTAGGAATGTCCATCGTTTTTCGATAACTAAATTGCTGTTTTCAACAAGTCCCTAATACCAGAGCACGCTAACAAGGCGGAGAGCATGTATTTAAAATGATTACGTGCACTTTGCGTTGGTGATTGGACACATTTTAGTGTATTTTTATGTTATTATTTGTCAGAAATCTTGTAGCGGTCTTGTAAATGGTCGTTTAAGTAATTGAATAATTATTATCTGTGTTATGATAAGAGTTTATTGGTTAGTCAAAGCTTTGCTTATGGAAATATTCATAAATAGGTACTAATCTGCTATTCTCTTAAATGTAAATTAAGTATTGTATTCAGCCCTTTTTCACGTCCCACTGCTGGGCATGGGCCTCTCTTCAATACGAGGGGGATCAGGACATAGTCCACCACGCTGTCCAAGTACGGGTTGGCGGACTTCACAGGTCTTTCGAAAACAGGCTAGGTTCTCTCAGACATGGAGGTTTCCTTACGAAGTATTCCTTCACCGTAAGGCAAGTGGTAATTATGTTAAAATTAATTCGTACATTAAAATATCAGAGGTGCGAGACCCGGGATTTGAACCCACTTCATACGGTTTCCCAAGCGAGCGCGTTACCACTGGGCTACCACTGCCTTCTTAAGTTATTATATTATACTTATTGAGATTAAGAAAACAGTATAAGTAAATTGTGTATTACTGTTTCCTTAATCTCAATAAGTATAATACAAGAATTTAAGAAGTACTAAAAATATCTCACTATAATGAAACAAATATAGTAGATAACTTGATCAGTAACCTACTCTGGCTTTGCTAAGGATCTAACTAAGGGTTGACCTAACGCATTTTTAGTATTTTTTCTATCTATATACTAGGATTGAGAATGCCGTTTATTCGTCATATATACCTTATAATACTAATTATAATTGAAAGTGTGTTTGTTTGTTTGTTTATTTGTTTATATATTTGTTTGTTTGTCCTTCTTTGACGTCGAAACAGAGTGACGGATTGGCGGATTACTTTTTACCGCAGGGGATCATCTCATTCCCACGGGAAAACATCTTATAATACAACCCAAAAATTATTTTTGTTCAGAATTACTTGAAACTTGCTATAAATGCTCTTCAATACAATTAAATAAATACGCGATTTAATATTTTTCGAAATTCATCCCATAAGAATGTAAAATAGGGAATGAAAGTTTATTGGGACCCACTTTTTTAGAGTTTTTTATAGTTTTTCTACTAGTACCTAATAAATCAATATACATATCTATTTTATTTCCATGAAAGTTGTTTAAGATAAAAAATATATTATTAGCTTTTCGCTTGACAAACAGCATATAAAAATAAATGTGTAAAATGGTGTTTTGACAAGTTCATAATCATAAATGTCATTTAAAATGTAAAGTATGATAACTACTGGAGTCTGATTTGTTTTCGCGTGAGGTTAACGCCCACATTAGTCAAGTCTTCGATATCGCCTGGACCGTTTATTCTATATTCCTATATATTCCAACGGTATTATAAAATTTAAATAATATTTAAGATACACTTTTGTTTTTGGATAAGTATTGGACTATCTAAAAGTAATACTTATGTTACTTTCAGTAATTTAATACTTTTGAAAGTATGTATTTATTTAAAAAATATAAAGTTAACTTATAATAAAATTCGTCTAAAGGAAATGGTTAAGATATCATAGAAACCTGGATAAATAGAAACCTACTAGATTAATTCTTAGGGGACTTTAGATTATATGTCAGAACATTAACACACAACACCATCTAGTTCCATGGTAAGCTACGAGGCTTGTGTTATGGATACCAGATAGTTGATACATTATACATATATAACTTTAAATACATACATATTATAAATATAAACACCCATGACTGGAGTACATGTTCATGCTCATCACACAAATAAATACCACAGCGGGACTCGAACCTGCGACTGCTGGTGCAGCAAGTAGGGTCACTACAAACTGAGCCAAACGTGTCATCAAATCACTTTATATTGTACGGTAAAACTTAAAATTAAAAACCTAGTCAACGTTTAAAACCTAAGAAATTATTAGATATAGATTAGTAAGCTGCATATGTACTATTTATATAAAACTTTTATGTTCTCCTTAAAGTCCTTGCCTATATAGAACAATATAAAAAAAAACTTCTTTTATATAGTTAGGTAAATAAATTATAATTATATAATATAGACGTTTATTTAGTGCCAGTCACAAATCATTTAACTACTTAATAAAAAAGCTGTTATTAGAATCACCCAATAAGAATCACTACGCACCGCCCATTTCCTTTTCAGGAGTTCCAAATACCCACATCGGATTGGTTTTGGTACAATTACAGTGTTTGATAAATTTTTAGCATACCATCTTTAGCAATACTTAAGAGAAAGATTTATCATCTACCATATATGGAACAACCAATGAGATGTTATTGTATTATAGCATCGAAAATATTGATTATGACTCAGAGTTCCTTTGTCTTGTATAATTTTAGAAATATCTACCTGTCTTTCATACATATGGGCTTGGGTTTTCATAATTATTATTTGTTAATTAAAATACTTGTTATTATTTCTCTTATGAATATCAGATATCCGCCGAACAAGGCATATTTTATATTGTGCTATAAGTCAATTATTTCAAGTGTAAAATTATATTATTATTGTATTCAGCCCTTTTTTAACGTCCCACTGCAGGGCACGGGCCTCCCTTCAATACGACGGCGATCAGGCCATAGTCCACCACGCTGGCCAAGTGCGGGTTGGCGGACTTCACATGTTATTATTACGTTCTATAAAATAATAATTAACAACTTTTTGATTTAGAAAAATGAACAACAAGGAAGAAGTAAAAACTAAATTATAGACTAAAAATCTTTAGGAAAGCTTAAAGCGTTCTTTCAATTCATAGAAACTTTGAGATACATGTATTAAATTTATTCAAATAGTAGCGTTATTTACTATGTTACTTTACCCTAAATAACTAAACTTTAATGAGTTCTGAAATGACGTGTTCTCGTCCTAACAAGCTGTTACCCACAAGGTTATCTACTAGGTAGTCGTTCTCATTACGATAGTTATGTGAAAATATTTATTAAATAAATGTATTTTCGTATGTAACTATGCATTATAAGGTATAGATTTTTACAAACTTACAAATATTCGAATCAAATAATAGGAACGTATAGTCGTATACATAACATTATTAATAAAATTATAATAATTAATAAAAAATATAATTAATATTAATTATATTTCCAAGAGAAAAACGTTATTGTTTTTTTTTTAAATTTTATGTATGTCTATATATTCACTATTCAGCCCTTTTTTACTTCCCACTGATGGTCACGGGCCTCCCTTCAGTACGAAGGGAATCAGGCCACAGACCACCACGCTGGCCAAGTGCGGGTTGGCGGACTTCACATATCTTTTGAAAACTTGCTAGGTTCTTTCAGACATGCAGGTTTCCTCGCGATGTTTTCCTTCACCGTTAATACAAGTGGTAATCATGTTGGAAATGATTCGCACATGAAAATATTAGAGGTGCGAGACCCGAGATTTGAACTCGCTTCACTCGGTTTCCCAAGAGAGCGCGTTATCACTGGGCTACCATTGCCTAAATTAATATATACTAATTACTTAACTATAATTATAAAAATATTAATGTATTAATTCTTCCAGGTGTTAGAGCGTGCCTGGCTGAAGGTGTCGCGCGCTAATGATGACAGTTGAGACGCGCGGGGACGCCACTCTGAGCGCGCTACTGTCACTGTCACACAATCATGTTCACGAGGTTTGTTTGTATTTTTTAAAAATAAAATCAGTAATAAAAATTATATTAAAGCCATATTTAAAACGCAAGCTACGTATATCTGTATCAAATATAATTATTGTGATCAGATAGTAAAATATACTACTATAAATACTTTTATTTTCATAATATTAGTACAATTAACAGTAAATCATAATGAAGCGAGAGCCATATCTGAATATGTCTGAGTGAAATTAAAAAAAAATGATGCCTCTCAAAATCATTATGGAATTAATATTTTCGTGACATAGTTTTATCCATTTTTGTGACATAACGAAGGTGCTACGATATAGCCCAGCAACCGTTACAATACAACAAGAATATATTAAATTTACACCTCACACACTTGTAAATTATGACGAAATGAAAAGATGTTACTTAAATAACGTCGAACGTCCAAAAATATAAATGCCATCGCATATAAAATATGTACTTTAAAAAGCAAAAGTTAAAAAAAAAACTTTGTTTTTTCCGCCACTAACTCCATAAATAAATCTGCAATTAGAAAAATATAGTCGTATAGTATTCATAATAATGGTACTTTTGTAACTTGAATGATGAATATAGTGACATCCTTTAATTTCTTGAGCATTTCCTTTTAAATTCTACTTTACAATTTTGAATCACTTGCTTGTTTTTTAATCTACATATCCGGAGTTGGAATCATCAGAGGTTCCCCGAACACCATTAGTACTTGTGTTATGCACTTATAGATTTTTTTAACTTCTGAATCGTAGTAGTTTAAGTACAAATAGGTGCTGAAAATGTGATTATTTTATAAGAAGCAATTTTTGTTAAAATTAGTAAATTACATATTCAAATATATATGCTATTTTCTAATTTTATTTTGTGAGAAAATTTATTGAGTTCCATAGCTATGGTGGGATAGATGGTATGTTTCTAAAATATAATACACGGACAGACTCAGATATTTAATTAAAATAATCTTTAAAATACAGATAACTCACATAAGATAAATCCTTCATAAGTTATTGTTATTTAAAACATTCTATATTAAAAAGACTAAGATATAATTTACGTATAGTCGATGATACATAAGAAGTTATAGGTTTTATTCGTTTGTTATGTACACATGTAATAACTAATAAATACGTTAATTGTGCTAAATAATGACGTTTCACACTGGCTGGCATGTTTGAACAGTGACGTATGAAGTGCTAAAGTACCGTGTTGTAATTTGAAATTTAGTATACCTACTTATATTTGTTTCTCTTATCAATAGCGGTATTATAATGATATATTTTAAATCTCATTGAAATTAAAACCATTGGCTTATGGCTTTTTTATAAGGAAGCACTTGTTTAGGTTGGTATCACTGTCACAGTCATGGTAAAAACAAAATTGCATAACACTTCAACTTTCTCCATACTCTAAAACAGTAATACATAAAATAAATAAATATGTTGGGACATTAGCACACAGCACCATCTAGTTTCATGGTAAGCTACGAGGCTTGTGTTATGGATACCAGATAGTTGATACACTACACATATATAACTTTAAATATATACATATTATAAATATAAACACCCATGACTGGAGTACAAACATATGTGCTCGTCACACAAATGAATGCCCCCAGCGGGACTCGAACCCGCGACCGCTGGCATAGCAAGTAGGGTCACTACTAACTGAGACAAACGAGTCGTCATACATATAATGTAAGAATTAATTACACAATTAAAAATAAGCTACTAACAGTAATTCATGTCAACCCAATATCTTAAGCAAATTATGAGACAGACGAATTAATGTCATTCAATTATTGATTTATGTTCGAGTTCGTACCCAACGTGAGTAATTGATAGATACAGTAAAATTAAAGTAATTTGTCAAATCTATTTCTAATAGTAGCATCTGCCTGTGGTTTCCCATTGAGCTTGATCTTTTAATCGAGATCAAAAAGAAACTCTTTCACAAAAAATATTGCCTTAAAATCTGTTAAGTTCAGCAATCGTTAAAGAATTGTGTGTTTTTAAATTATGTATATTGAAATGTCGAATGAATCGTTGTTATAGATACATAATATCTCATTATTATATCTTCGTGGAATTCTTTTCTAAACGGCTAGTTTAGTTTGCAAATGACAAACGAGTTTACAGTTAAAAAGTGCTTTAAAACTTATAATTTCTGATTGCATTCCCAAAATATAAAACTTTCAATAATATTATATGTTAAATTACTTATATATGATTAGCGATTCGCCCTAGCTTCGCTTGGGTTCGTCCCTAGGTACGTTTTAATGGTTAGTATGGAATGGATAGAATTATTTCTTTTTATATCCTTTACTTAAGAAATTAGATTCCTCATACGAATTCTCATCCCCCTTTTTATCCCCCTTAATGGATGATTTTCGAGATAAAAAAATTTCCTATATCCTTCTTAGGGTTTCAAACTATTTTCATATCAAATTTTATCTAAATCGGTTTAGAGGATTTTTAGTTTACCCATTACAAACAAAAATACATTTTTTTCTCGATAGTACTAGCGACTCACACTCGCTTCGCTCGGGATCGTCCTTAGCTTGCTTCCCAATACAAACTTTCATCCCCATTTTCACCCCCATGAGGTATGATTTCCGGGATAAAAAGCATCCTATGTCCTTCCCATGGCCACATATTTCACACAAATTTCATCTAAATCGGTTCAGTAGATCCAGAGATTACTCCCTACAACGTCACAAACTCACAAACTCACAACCTCACAAACTTTAATTCTTTTATTTTTTTTAATCATAATTCACTTTTCGCTGTTTGATATCTAAAATACATCGAGTTTTATTGAAATGAAAAATATCTTTTACTTAAGTGATTAGAGCTTTTCTCAATTTGGCGGCGTCGTGGCTGATCCATTAGCAAGAAACTATCCCGTTAATATAAATTAGAATCACAATATATAAATATTCAATGTACACATTAAGTAATGCATATTTCTATGAATATTTAAAGTTTAAAATTAGCATACATTTATTAACTAGCGATTTTCCCTAGCTTTGCTCGGGTGCGTCCCTAGAAGCCTTACAGTAAACCTGTTTCTCCAAGTGAAAGTCTACGTATATCTGCGTTCTAAGCCAAATCCGCTCAAGTCGTTTGAACGTGAAATAGTAACAAACATACTCAAACACATAAAAAAATTATTTATAGTAGAGTAGTCCAATTATTTACCCCACCTTATTTATTATTTATCTATCTCTGTGCCAAATTTCATCCAGATCCGTTCAGCCGTTCTGGCGTGATTGAATAACAAACATCCATCCATCCTCACACATTCTCATTTACTCATACATAGATTAGATATTTTTCTCAAATAAAAAATATTCTTTAACTGAATTAAATAAATAAGGAAATGCTTCTTTTTATCGTCAGTAATTTTTGCATTTTGGTAAGGTTTAAAAACTTATTTTAGTGAAACTAATAAATGGCATCATTCTTCAAAGTATGCCTTAGCTAGGTAAGAGATATATATATATATATATATATATATATATATATATATATATATATATATATATATTGTATGGATAGGGTATTTTACACAATACATAGAATAGTACGTATTATACTTCCAATAAACTGCACTTTTTAAGAGGCTAGATTCTCGCACTTTTATATCAATATTAAAAACATTTCAACAAAATGTTAATTTCCATTATCTTAAAGAACATTCTTCGTTGATTTATTTAGACTGAATGTTCCACACATAACTCAAATTGTCTCTATTTTTTGTTCGCTACAAACCACTCAAAATAACGTAATGCGCGTAAGACCATTACGAGTTTTAGGGTTGAACATACCAAAAGCGATACTAAGCTACATTATTATAATTATAAAATATTCTAAAAAATTATAGATACATTTGGATCCAAAAGATAACTTTTCATTAAATAAAAAGAGCGAGTAAATTATCTGTTTAGTAATAATTAGTACGTTTAGTTTTAGTAATGATAATAAAATCTATTAAGCTTAAATGTAGGGGGCATAATATACTTATAAGAGCTTTATGGAGAGCGTTGATGTTATTTTCATGATTTTACTTTTTTTATATTGAATCAAATCGTTTTTTTTTATCTTTTAAAAGATAGTGGACTGCAGCCTTTAGCTGCTTTCGTTGAAATGAGCTATTTGTATTAAGCTTAAGATGACTTGCTCTTATTTTGGTCGGCCAAAGCGGCTGATTTTCGAAACACTTCAAAAATCTGCTACGACATCTTTAATAGAACACCTTGATAGAAGGTATTATAAAAAATAGAATGATAAAATATATACTTAGAATGTCTAGGCTATCCTTACATTATAGGAGCAAAATATTAAAGTTATTTTATCATTTAGTAGCGACTCACCCTCGCTTCGCTTGGGTTCGTCCCACGTTTGTCTTCCCAAACAAGCGTTCATCCCCGTTCTCACCCTCTTAAAGGATGATTTCCGAAATAAAAAATATTCTATATCCTTCCCAGGATCTCAAACTATCTTCTTACAAAATTTCATCTAAACCGGTCCAGTAGTTTTTGAGTTTATTCGTTACAAACACACAAAAATACAAGTCTTTATATATATATATATATATATATATATATATATATATATATATATATATATATATAATAAATGAATATCTGTTTCGGAAGAATAAATTCAAAATTAAATATTCAAAAATTCTTAATCTTCATTTAAAATAGAGCTAATATTTGTGCAATTTTTTAAACAGTACCTAATATAATCCTACATACGTCTTTAAATACTTAACAGTACAAATATATGCATACATGTTCTCATATCAATAACTAGCAATACCCGCGACTTCACCCGCGTTCAAACTTCCGATCGCTACCAAACTTCAGAGGATTACGCGCTGGGCTAATCTAAAGATTGCCTGAAAATTTCATCAAAATCACACCAGTCGAGTCCTTATGGAACACACATACATACACACATAGATTATTTGCTGTATATGGGATTTGAATT